TGAATTCCCCGGGAGGAAATCCCCCCTGGTTGAGAAACCCTGTCCTAAGATGTACATCGGGTGACTATTGTTAGCCAATTTTAATAGGTCTTCTATAGGTAAGTAGGGTCGTCTCGGTGGCAGATAAGTAGTAGCAATAATTACGTCTCCTTGAGTTGTATTTATTTTTATTGCTAGAAATTCATCCTGGAAGTCATCGATTAGTTTAAAATTTAAGTTTCTTTTAACCGCTATCGCTACTCCGTCATTTTTCTCGCCCGATTTATTTCTTTGGTTTACATAATAGTTAAAGAGTTTTATGTTGTTGTCTGTCTCACCGTGACTGTTTATTAGTATAATGTCAGGGTCAATTTCTTGATATATATTACTTAGGTTAATTCTCTCAGTCTTCCAGTTTCTTACGTTGTGTTGTATTATTCTTAAAGTTCGTACTGTTTGTCTGTTGTCCATTATTTCTTATACTTGGATTGTGGCAGTTGGAGTGGAGACCTATCATCATGTTTCCCGCTTCTGACTCTTCTAAACTCTGACGGGTCTAGTATTTTAAAGTCATTGGTCGTAATCTTTAGTTTGTCCATAGTGATTAGTGTCCAGAGGTAATCTTCACTTAGGTATTTTTCTTGATATGTCCACTTGTATATCCCTCCTTCACAGTTTTTTGCTATTGTCCCTCCTGTTGGCCTCGATGTTGGGATTCCATGTTTTGTTGTGGTGATAACTTTTAATCCAATATCTTCAGCAGATTCAGGTTGTATATTGTGATCAGTCTCCATCTTATCTTCTCTCCTCCTTATCCTTTGTCTTGTAGACTGTCCTTTTGTTATTTCTATCTTCTCTTTGTCACTTCTAGTCATTTGTCTGGGATCTCTATCAGTCGCTTGTGTTCCTTGTGTATCAGCTGTTGCTCCTTGTTCAAACCTTTGTTTGTCTAGCTGTAGTCTTTCTTTCAGTTCGCTTGAGTATGTAGCCTGAAATAGTTTTTCGGATTCTAGATTCTCTGGGAATATCATCTCTGGTAGGTAATTCAATTTAAACATTTTCCTTAACTCCTCATTGTATGATCCGGGTGCAATGATATTGTGCAGATGTGCATGGATCATACTAATCATTACCTTGTCATGTATTGGTTCACTTAAGTTTAATATGGTGGATTCTGGTCTGTGAGCTTCTTGGACCGCTCTCTTGGCTATTTCGACGTATGTCGTATCCTTCTTTTCTTGTTCCTTTTTCCTTGTTTCTTGTTCCTTGTACTTTATCATGTGTTTTTTTATTGGGCATGCCATTGCTAACGTCCTGTGTCCTATATATATGCATTCCCGTTTCTCTTACAGTTGAGACAGCCAACATGTGTGTTCTTACATTCAGTGTAGGTATGGTCGTCGCCTGCACAATCTGAGCAGTACTTTTTCTCTTTTTCTGGACAGTCTCTCGTTGTGTGTTCTTCATATTCATAACAGGAAAAGCAAGTTTGCAGACTGATGAATGTTTCCTTCTTTATTTGATGAGGTGTTACTGACATGTTAAATATTAGAAAGCCCTGTTGTAATACTGTAGGGTTACGTGATATTATGTTGTCTAGCACTCAGGATGGATGGATGGAAACTCTAAGGTGGTGGTTTTCATATATAATATAAGTTATATGAAAGACAGTCTGGTGCTGGAGATGCCGTGTGGTGAGGAGCTGCTCAGTAGACACGTTCGGTGAGTAGCGTGTTGAAGGAGGTAGATGTGCAGGAGCTTCGTTAGAGGAGATGTTGCCTGTTGCTGGCCTCCAGGTTGAATGAGAGCTGGACAGCGAGGAGCTTGCTTGGAGGAGATGTTGCGTGTTCAGGAACATAGAGTAGAATAAGAGAGCTGGTTGGTGAGGACGCTCAGAGAAGGACAGCTGGTGGGTCGCCATGCTCGCCGGCGGGAGCGAGGACCGCCAGGCAGGCGGAGGAGAAGCGAGGGCCGCCAGGCAGCGGCGGAGGAGGAGGTGTTGCGTGTTCAGGAACCGAGGCCAGAATCAATCTCAATGGAGAGACAGAGCTTATATACACAGCAGCGGGAAGTAAACCCGTGGGAAGTCGCCAGTTTCTTGACTCCGTTGCTAGGGAAGACGTAGCAGGTGGCTGGTTGCTAGGATACTGTGGCATCTGGTGACGCGGATACGCAGTTGTAGGGGAGACGTCCACTACAATACTCCCCCTTCCCTCCAGGCGGTGTAGGAGACTTGTTGTCTGCAGAGTTGCTTAGCACATGTGAGGCAGAACGGGCGGTGCATGCCACATGTGAGCAAGAACGGCGAGGGCGTGAATGAGCCTGTCGCTGGATACAACTGTCTAGATACACACTATCTGTGGGAGGAGAGAGGGAGAAAAAGGGTGTGTGGAGGCGATGAATGTTGTGCTTCCCTCATGACAGGTACAGAGTCGTCAGATGCGCCTGCTGGGGTGTGTGGGCCTGGGTCAGGAGCAGGGGCTGCGTCAGCAGAAGCGGATGAGGGCTCGTGACAGCAGCTGGGTCCACGACAGCAGCAGGGTGCAGGACATTAGCAGGGAGTACCTGAGGGAGAAAAGAGAGGTGTGTGGGTCCGCACTCAGGAACAGAGGCCGCGTCAGGGGCGGCAGGGGTTACTGCTGGGCCGGGGTCGGCGTCTGAGGCAGGACGGGTGCGCTGGGGTCGGTAGGATGTGGTGCTTGGGGCAGGAAGAGGAGCTGGTGTCTGCTTAGAGTAGCAGAGCTGCTTCTGTGTGGATAAGCCAGTCTTCCATGCTGCTTGATGGTGGGAGCGTGATCAGTTTCTCCTCCATCCTGTGTGAGTGCGAATCTCCGGGGGTCACCATTTGTAGGGTTATGTAATATTATGTTGTCTAGCACTCAGGATGGATGGATGGAAACTCTAAGGTGGTGGTTTTCTTATATAATATAAGTTATATGAAAGACAGTCTGGTGCTGGAGATGCCGTGTGGTGAGGAGCTGCTCAGTAGACACGTTCGGTGAGTAGCGTGCTGAAGGAGGTAGATGTGCAGGAGCTTCGTTAGAGGAGATGTTGCCTGTTGCTGGCCTCCAGGTTGAATGAGAGCTGGACAGCGAGGAGCTTGCTTGGAGGAGGTGTTGCGTGTTCAGGAACGTAGAGTAGAATAAGAGAGCTGGTTGGTGAGGACGCTCAGAGAAGGACAGCTGGTGGGTCGCCATGCTCGCCTGCGGGAGCGAGGACCGCCAGGCAGGCGGAGGAGAAGCGAGGGCCGCCAGGCAGCGGCGGAGGAGGAGGTGTTGCGTGTTCAGGAACCGAGGCCAGAATCAATCTCAATGGAGAGACAGAGCTTATATACACAGCAGCGGGAAGTAAACCCGTGGGAAGTCGCCGGTTTCTTGACTCCGTTGCTAGGGAAGACGTAGCAGGTGGCTGGTTGCTAGGATACTGTGGCATCTGGTGACGCCGATACGCAGTTGTAGAGGAGACGTCCACTACAATACTTTTTCAGCCATTAAAACTTCTTCGAAGGTAATCTTGAAAACATGAGTGTAGTCTTTCATCTTGATGACTTCCTCGATCTTCATCCAACTGTTTTGGCGTTCCAGTTCATCTTTCAGATCTTCAGATGTCTTCCTCCCGATCTCTTGGTCGACTTGACGAACGGAAACTGATCTTTTTGCTTTTTGATTTGGTGGCATGACAACAAGTCCTTCATTGTAAAATACATCTCTGGCTTCTTTTGAGAGGATTTTGTCTGAGTCAAAGTCATCTTTACAGATTACTTTGAAACCTTCGTTGGTGCTAAATATCTTGTTAGTGGGACTTGCAATTTGTTGTAAGTGATTTCTGCCACTTTTCCTCTTCCAATAGAGTGTCCCTTATCTCTATGTTTAATCCTAATGCTTGTAGTCATCTTCCTTGATTACATCCCAATCCTACCTATAACACAGGGCTCCTGCCTGGGAGCAGTGACCCCCCCCCCCTCTTGGACGGGCGTCGGGCTCGTAGGTTTCTGCGCCCAGGTTACCTGTGACTATAGTTATGTCTAAAAAGTTGCCACCTACCGGTGACCCCCGGACAAGGGGTGCCCTGCACTATCACAGGTTCCCTTGCCGGATCGACCGTATCGCTAAAGTCCCGCCTCCCGTTCAAGGAACGGAGTGCATGAGGGGGATGAAAAAAGGAAAGAAGAGTACTTAAAAAGTGGAGACAGTCTCCCTACCACGCCACGTTCGGTTAGCCAATCAGAGCACCGCAGTAAACGTGCATGTATCACGCCACCGTGGGGCACCACTGATTGGCCAATCCAGGACGTAGACGCACGGGTAGTAGTCAAAATTTGGGGAGCCCAAATACAGGGTATATGTTTTCAGAAGTTGGATGTTTCGTACAATCTGAGATGGTAATTGCACCGTCGCTATGTTGGGTAAGTACAATCACTAGGATTGAGTGTCCTATTACAACGAAGTTGCAGACTGCTCAAACATGCAGCAGACGAGGCAAGTCTTCACCAGAGATAGGTCACCACGAGGTCAGGTCTTATATAGCGGAGGTAGGCGTGGCTTAATAGTTGACCTCTGTCATGTAAGGTGGCGCTGGTTGACCTAGACCACGAGGCATACACACACTGGGGAATTTGCGGGGTCGGCTACTCGGCGACAAACAGCGTTTGTAGGGGAGGAATCCACTACACCCCCACGACTATCTGTCGTGCCTTGATCCCCAGCATGCCTTCCATCCTTTCCCCACCTTAAACTAAAAAGAAAAGAAAAAAGTACTGTATACCATCAGTTCAGTGTAAACAAATGCTGGATCCTACTGAACACCGATAATCACAAGATTGGACAAAATCACGAAAATATGTAATTAATGTTTATTTCTGTTTTTGGATTTATTATAAGTACGGAATTCTAATATTTACCATCGACGATTAAAAAATATAACAGCTTTATTTGAAAGAAACAGGAAATTTGCTACGACTAAAGTTTTTTCTATGAATTTTGCTAGTATATTATTCATTTTCGCAAAGTGTCGAGGTGTTTTGTTTGTTTTTGGTGTTCAGCCGTAGATGTGCTTCACTGTGACTGTTATGACTGCCAGAAGGCTGCATCATCACTCCTGCAGCAGATATGGGTCAAGGAAATAGCCAATTCACCGAAGTTGAACTTGAGGAGTATCAGGTAAATGAAACTGTGCATATGAAGGAGTTAGGTAAGGCAAAATATAAGTAGCAGCGATATTACCCCTCGCTTTAATGGCTTGATGCTTTGGGAAGTGTAGGTTAACCATTAGTGAATGTAGGTGATTAGGTTAAGACTCCGCACCCAGTGAAAATAGTTTACCCTGCATTTAAGATTTAACGGTAGAATACATGTTTTTGTTTTAAGGGTTCTATCAGTGGGGATAACCAACGTAATGTTTGAGTAGCAGCAAAATATTCGTGGTTTGGTTTCGTAGTGTAGCCCAGCTGTTAAAGGAAATATTAAGTGTGTAACCCAAGGATGTAAAATTTGGTTATAGTCTACAGGAGTTGTGTGGCTTAACTGTCTACTGTATGACTTGGTAATTTTTGGTTAACCACCCATCACCTTTCTGACATTTATCTTTTTTTATTAGGTCAGGTTAGGTTAGGTTAGGACGTGGTCTGTTAGGTTACATAACCTGACCTAACTAAAAAAGAAAAATTGTTTTCCCCCAAAATAAATTTCAGAATCATCTAAAACAGCAAGAAATCTAGCGAAAAAATATGGTAAATGTGTAGAAGGAGGTGACCACCAGAATGAATGGATGAGTTGACGGTCGGAATTTTTTCGTAAGATGGCAGGTCAATGGGTAAAGAAAAAGCTTAAATTCACTATGGTAATGATATTTTTTAATAAATTGGGCCAAAAAGTGTCAAAAATAAGGTTAAAGTTGCTAAAAAGTCACGTGTCTGCAAAAAGCTCTGTTATTGGTTGTGACGTCACTGGTTGGGGAGAGCTTCCCAGCGGGAGATGGCCAGCTGTAGTTGTCCAACCTTCTCGGCTGATCAGCTCTGTAAATAAAAATTATTAGATAATTAACTGTGCTTTATTGTGCAACACAGTAATACTATTTTGAAAAAACAAATATTACTAAGCACATAAACTAATTCAATGGATATTAGCTGCCCATACAACAAATTTCATAGTATAAACATTCCAAACAATATTGGTATTGTTTTGGTCATCTGGGGAACCTTAAGACTCTAACTATGGGATTAAGTACTTTAAACAATAGGAGACATTATCTCTACGGGAATTCTGTTGCAAAACATTTTTTGATCGCATAAGAAAATACAGATCATATGTTAGGTTAGGGTATGATGAGCTATAAGGTTAGCTTAACGTACATCAGTAAGGGGGGGGGGGGTAGTAACTCAAAACTAGTTATTTCCAATAGAAATGAAGGTCTAAATTGTTCATAACACATTGCAAACCGTCAGAAAAAAAACATAAGTCTGCTTTTCTAAGTACAGGGATGACCAAAACTTAAAATTTACCCAATATAGCCTATCTCGAATCTAAACATCAAAATACTTATGGTAATTAAAGTCAAATTTTATCCATTAATTAATATAAATGATGATATATCCCAGTGGTTCATGAGTGAACCATCAAAACAATAACAGCACTATGTTGTCATGTTAACTAGCACCAGGCATTCTCAAAACGAAGTGCAGATAATGTCATTACTTCTAAATTGACGTGTATCTCCATCTAGCACTGATATACTCTGTAAATGCACTGAAAAAAAAGAAGAGAAAGTCTACCAGGTAAGAGTACATGACAGCTGGGTTGGTGTGAACATGGGAGTTTTTTATGTCCAAGAGAACATAAGAAAATAAGGAGTCTGCAATAGGCCGGTTGGTCTGTGCTTGGCAGCTCCTGTCGAAAGTTACAACCTCTCTATCGTCCATGAATTGAATTGAATTGAAACCGTTTATTTAGCCAGAAAAATAGATACAGAGTGGATACTAATAACAATATTAACATGGCTGAGCCAGTTGAGAACCTGAGCTCTCTTTGAGGCACCTGATATACAGTCAATCCTCACATTACGCGGTCCCGCATTCCGCGGTTCACCGTTAACGCGGTGCCCTGCCGGAACCTAACATGCTCACATTCCGCGGTCGTGAACCCCATCCCGCCATCCGCCATGTTGTGTAAGAGGCGCGAAAATGGTGCGCACAAGGTCGCCCAGTCATCAAAACATTACCAGTTCTTCACCCGCCACCCACTACAGCCGGCCCAAGTCAGTGATAGTGATAATTATAGTGAGGATATGGACTTATATGAACTTTGGGGGGTTTGACAAAGAGGCCCTGCAAGCCTCTGTGGTGGATAGTGATACAATTGATACAAGTGATACAGGTGAGGGCCAATAATCTGCCCTCTGCCTCGGAACCAACCGCCCATCCCCGTGTGCCCAGCCATCTTTTCTACTAATGTAAGTGTTAAAAAACCTAATATTATTGATATTTCTCTTAATTATTAATTGTGTGTGCATGCCATCATAAAGTTAAGATAATATTTTTACTACAACATAGTTGTGTGTCGTCAAAAAGTGGAGTTTGGGGATCGGCCTGGACTCCATTTCAATTAATCCCATATGTTATGTTGTTCACTTTACGCGTTCCTCACTTTCCGCGGTACCCTCCGGGTTACATTAACCGCGTAATGTGAGACCCAACTGTATACTATGCATTTATTTCAAGGAAGTATTATGTAACATTTAGTATCATCTGGAATAATACAATAGTATGGTGGTAATAAGAACAACTCTTTTAATGTTACCACAGTTATCACTTTAATATTTATTTCTTTTATATACCTGTATTTATTATTTTTTTAGTTTATTTTTTTATTATATATATATATATATATATATATATATATATATATATATATATATATATATATATATATATATATATATATATATATATATATATATATATATATATATATATATATATATAATTAAAAAATAACAAATATATAAAATAAATAAATATTAAAGTGATAACTGTGGTAACATTATGTTAAGGCATTTGTCTATGAAAGATCTAGGGTACTTAAGGTTCAAGCCAATATTATGGATATATTTATATTCCTCATCAATGAATTCCGGGCTGCAAATTCTCAAAGCACGTAAAAACATTGATGAAAATACTGACTGTTTGACTTTATTATGGTGGGGAGAATATTAATGAATGTATGAACACACATTAGTAGGTTTCCTATAAATATTGAACTTAAAGGTGTTACCTTTCTATAGAACCGATCCCAAGCCCACCCATGACCATAAGAATCTCTTCGTATTAACATTTCATAAAAAGTTCTCTCAAATCCCTTTACAACTAAAAACCTGGAATGTCAATGTGGCATTAAAAACCTCAAGCACTGTCAAACAAATGTTAATCAAGAACTCCCCCAACAATACAAGTGGCTGCATTTATAAGGTTCCTTGCAAGGAATGTAATATGTTTTACTTAGGCCAGACAGGTAAAGATCTTGTAACTGGACTTTAACAACATAAATATAGTGTTAGGACAGGCCAGGAATCCAATGCTCTGTTTGTTCATTTGAGGGATAATAAGCATTGCATTGACTGGGATAATGCCTCATCACTACTACCTTGTAATTCAATTGACAGTAGGAACATTATAGAATCTAGTCTCATTAAACATACCGAATCCGTCAACATGAATTTGAGTAATGGTATGTACAAAATGGATAATGTCGTAATTAACAAGATTTGTAACCAGGTGAGAAGGTTGGGTCAGCTTACCCTCTGACCTGACTACCGACTGTTGCGGTGCTTTTTGAAGATTAGTAGGGTCATTACCTAATACCTGACCATTGTGGACTTGATCTCACCCTCCTCTGTATATATATACCTTGTTTTGTACTTTTCCTTAGTCTGTACTCACCCCTGAAGATGTGAATTACACGAAAGCGCCTGGGAACTTCGTGTTTTCTTCTTTCCTTGTGGTTATCGGTATATATATATATATATATATATATATATATATATATATATATATATATATATATATATATATATATATATATATATATATATATATGTATGTATGTATGTGTATGTATGTATGTATGTATGTATGTATGTATGTATATAATAATAATAATAATAATTATTATTATTATTATTATTATTATTATTATTATTATAATAAGAGCTTGGCAGCCTGAAGGCTGAAACTATACAGTTACATATTTGGGGAATGGGTTTCGAATTACAAATAATATACAAGTAACATAAGTGACACAAATAAGACATATAATAACTAGATGGGGAAAAGTTCAAACTACAGTTCATTTCAACAGTGACAGTGCAAGGAGTAGTGTTTACTGGGAGTGAATACACTGGTTTATTACAAGTTATTGATAATTTTTACAATGGTTGGGACTGGGCTGTTCTTATAGCGATCAGTTCGTGCACGTATGGGCTGGATGCGGTTGTGGTGTCGAACAGCAATTCTCGGACTAGGGATCTCAGGTGGTAGTAGGAGCCGGTGTCGAGGATGGTGTAGAAGCTTCTTACCAAATTTGCAGATGAGGTCGTGGTGATGGTCAGTGAGAGTCGAAAGGGTCAGTGTGTTGAGCGCTTCTTGATATGTGGAGTAGGAAGGGGAGAGAATAATCTTGCATGCCCTCTTTTGCACTTTTTCTAGGTGTTTACGTTGTGTGGCATTTAGGGAGGAAGACCAGGTGGGGGAGGCATAGGTGAGCTTGGGAAGTATGAATGTTGTGTAAACACTGAGGAGCTCGTGTGCAGGAACTCCGAGGGACTTGAGTCGGTGGAGGAGGTGGAGACGGAAACTGGAGGATTTGACAACTTCACTGACATGTGGTTTCCAATTTAGTTTGTTGTCTATGGTGACGCCGAGGAGCTTCGTGGAATCTACAACCTGGATTGTGTTCGGACCTAGAGTAATGGAAGGAGGTGGGACAATGTCGGAGGAGAGGTTGGTGTGCATAACCATGGTCTTGGTATGGTTGATGGTGACTTGGTTGTTGGTGGCCCAGTTTTGGAGACTGTTCAATAAATCCTGAAGGGCGGTATAGTTGGGAGCAGAATTGTTGACGCTGATCCCAATGGTGGAGTCGTCGACATATTTCCAGCGAGCAGGGGT